CCTGCTCGGCGGGAAGCCTGCTTCTCCCTCTCCCACTCCCCTTGCTTGTGTTCCCTCTCTTGCTGTGTCTCTCTCTGTCAAATAAATAAATAAAAAATCTTCAAAAAAAAAAAAGATGAAAACACCAGAAGTCAAAACTATGTGTATGGCATGATCCCAATTTTAAAAATAAATCCCGTGTATCTAATTTATAAGAAATACCTTAAACTTTCATAGCAGTTCGGTGGATAATGGGATCGTGGGATGGTTTTTTCCCCTCCAATTTTCTAAAACAGTCTGTAAGAGCATAGATAGCTTTAAAAAAAAAAGTTAAACTTCTGTGCACCTCTTTTTAAGAAGGTACGTGACTGAAGCAGAGCTGCTTTTCAGAGGCTCACGCAGAATTACGTTTGGTTATGTGAACCTAGGTCCTGCTTCCCAGCATGTATACCATGTATAGGACCCAGGGCACCAGTTCAGCCATTGACCAGCTCTGTGACCTCACCTTAGCTCTCTGACCTCCTTGGTTCTCACTTTTGTAAACTGGGGAAAAAGACAAAACAAAAAAACCCAGCCATGTGCCAGGAATATTCACATCTTAGTTAATCTTCAGGATTACTCTCCAGAGTACTATTGTTATCTTCATTTTTGCTGCTGTGGAAATTAAGGTTCAGAGAGGTTAAGTTACTTACTCAAGGTCACAGAGCCAGTTAGAAGCAGAGCTGGGATCTGAGCTGGCCCTATCCATGTCCTATAAAGGACTATTTCTCCTCACTGGACAAGATGAACTCCTCCACCCCTTCAGCTTTGATGATCTAAGATTCCCTGAGGTAGTAGGGAAAAAATATTTTCCATATTAATTCCATATTAATCTCCATCTCTTCTCTCTGCATTCCCAGGACTTTAGCACCTCCCTTCCTAAGCAGGAAACACTTGTAAGCCGGGCTGAAGATAGCCTTTTCTGGAGTGAGGCAGACGTGGTCCAGGCAACTGATAACTTCAACCAAAACCACAAAATCAGTGAGGGGACCTTTGCTGACATCTACAAAGGGCAAAGGCACGGCACGCCATTCGTCTTCAAGAAACTCAGAGAGGTGAGCTCTTCTTGGTTTCTAGTAAGGGGTGGAGGCTATATTGGGTGAGGCTGGATTTTCATGTTTCATGGTGTTTTCCCACAGGTGGCCTACTCAGGTCCAGGACTGGTCGAAAAATTCTTCCAGGCAGAGGTACAAATTTGTCATAGGTAAGCCTCCCCTTTGGAAAACACTTTGCTTAGTAATGATGACAGCTAACCTCTATATAGTGCTTCCTGTGTGCCAGGCATGTCTGAAGTACTCCACATGTAAAAATTCATTTAATCCGCACCAGAACCTTGTAACGTTGCTGCTGTTATCAGCATTATTTTGCACATGCACAAATTGAGGCCCAGAGAGGTTAAGTGTCTTGTCCAAGGTTGCGCAGCTAGTAAGTGGCAGAGCTGGAGTTTGAACCTAGGTTGGTCTGGCTTCATAGTCCATGCTTTCTCCATGAAGCAACTGTATGCATAGATTAGAATCATCAAAGAACCTTGGCTCGCTTGGCCCCGCTCTTTCCTTCCAGGGTGGAAGAAATCTGTTTCTATCCCATTTTTCTGAGATGGGCAGAGATTTACTGTTTCCAACTCTAATGGCAAATCCCTCTTAAAACTGTATTTCCAGAGCAGGGGTTGGCAAATGATGCCCTATGGGCTAGATCGGGCCGTGCCTGTGTGTGTGGTCTGATTGCTAAGAACGGGTTCTCCATTTTCAGAGGGATGAAAAAAAAGAATATTTCATGATACATGAAAAGTATATGAAATTCAGCTTTCAGTGTCCACAATAAAGTTTTACTGGAACACAGCCGCACTTACTTATTTCTGTCTTCTCTGTGGCTGTTTTTGTGAGATAGTGTACAGTTGAGTACTTGCAACAGAGACCGTATTGGCCTACAAAGTCTAAAATATTTACTACCTAGCCCTTGGCAGATAAATTTTTTAAAAGATTTATTTATTTATTTTGAGAGAGAGATGGGGGAGGGGAAGAGGGAGAGGGAGAGAGTCCCAAGCAGACTCTGCGCTGAGCAAGACCACTCCCCGAGCTGACCCCTAGAGTCCGACGTTCAGCTGACTGCACCACCCAGGTGCCCCGACAGAGAAATGTTGAGCCATAAAGTCTTGAGCAATAAAGACCTGCAAAAGTCATCCTCAAACCTGCTCATTTTACAGATGGGGAAACTGAGGCTGAGAAGGGCAGTGAAACTGCCTGTCCCAGAGCTGGCAGGGGACTGGAAAAGAGAACGGGAAGGACCTGGGGAGACTTGCTCTGGCTCTGCCGTCACTGACTGATGAATTTAACAAAGGCATATTGGGCACCTGTCGGGCGCTGGACGCCAGCTGTCATTCAACCTTGGCAAGTCGCTCTCTGGGTTTCCTCTGCCAGCATGCAGCCCTGGGCGAGGAATGCATGATTAGTGTGGAGTATCTTAAGAAATAAAGAAAATCATAAATAAGAAAATAGAAATCACCTGTTTTCTGTAGCACCTATAAATAACTACTCCTGTGTTAGTATTTAGATATATTTTCTTTAAACTTTTCTCTATTCATACATGTGTATGAATAAACACACACATATTTATTTATTTATTTATTTATTTTAAGATTTTATTTATTTATTTGAGACAGAGAGAATGAGAGACAGAGAGCATGAGAGGGAGGAGGGTCAGAGGGAGAAGCAGACCCCTGCCGAGCAGGGAGCCCGATGCGGGACTCGATCCCGGGACTCCAGGATCATGACCTGAGCTGAAGGCAGTCGCTTAACCAACTGAGCCACCCAGGTGCCCCAACACACACATATTTAATAAAAAAATGAAAGTATAATTCCCCTTTCCATTTTGGCAAAGTGCCTTCCTGGAGTCAGCAGACACCCCATTCACCGACTGGGCAAACGTGAGTTGTCAAGGCCTTTTTTGGCTCTAGGGAGAATACACAGCCCCTGCCTTCGGAATAGTTATGGTCCAGAAGGGACTGAGTATAAATGACTCTCCTGAATGTGAAAAGTGCAGTAGGACAGCCTGAGGAGAGTGGAGGAGGGCAGGAGGGATTGGGCAGGAGGCCATTATGATAGTCCTGTGGAGCATCCATCAGAGTCCGACTCAAGGTAGAGGAGAGGGGGAATGAAGGGGACAGTTGGAAAGCTATTTATGATGGTGAATGCTGACTAATTAGATGGGGGAGGTAAAGAGGTTTCCAGGAAACTGCATGGAGACTGCAGAGGTGCCCTTTGTTGAGATAATAACTGGGCACAGAAGCGGGTTTGGGACTTGTTGAGTCTAGGGTGTTCACCTGGAGGATCAGGATGCAAATAGACATAAAGGTCTAGAGCTTAGGAAGGGGCTGCAATGAGAGATTTGGGGAGTGTTCCCCATAGAGGTGGGAGATACCTGGAGACACAGCTGATAAAACAAAATGATGAGCTGAGCCGGGGGTACTTAGGTTTCAGAGGAAGGCAGAGGAGGCGGGTCTTAGTGAAAAAAGCCAAGAGAGAGCAGTCAGAGAGGTAGGAAGAGTCTGGAGGGAAAAGTGACTCAGAACCTAGCAGAAGAGGATTTCAGGGAAGAACCCAGGCCTGGGAGTCCAATAGACCTGCAGTCTGATCCTGCCTTCCCTGCTTGCTGGTCATGATGGTGAGCAAGTTCCTTAACCTCTAACCTCTAAGGTAGGGTAAGTTTGAGCTCCTTGACTTCAAACTTGTTGAAGGCAGGCAGTTTTCATCTCTCTACCCTGGTGCTGGGCCCTCAGGGGTCAGAGCATTTGGTACCTGGCTGGTCATGACTGTGAGCAAGTTCCTTAACCTCTAAGGGTCTGTTTCCAGAAGATGAGGAGGTTAAGGTGTTATGTGCTGCAGAGCAGTGAGGTAGGGTAAGTTTGAGCTCCTTGACGTCAAGCTTCTTGAAGGCAGGCAGTTTTAATCTCTCTACCCTGGTGCTGGGCCCTCAGGGGTCAGAGCATTTGGTACCTGGGAAGTCACTGGTGACCTCACTGGGGTAGAGGGGGTAGAAGAGGGGTGGGAGGTGAGGAAGTGGAGCAGTCTTTGTTTCTTCTTTCTGTCTGACTCCTCACCTCTGCACTAATACCTGATTTCAGATGCTGCCACCCCAACGTCTTACCTCTGCTGGGCTTCTGCACTGGAAATCAGTTTTACAGCTTGATCTACCCATACATGGCAAATGGTTCTTTACAGGACAGACTCCAGGGTCAGGTAAGGGGCTGGGTCATGGTCAGAGAACAGCACTAGGTAGCATCCAGTTAGGGACTCAAGGTTTAAGGACTTCCAGAAGGGAGAGGGGTCATCCAGAGAGAAGTTAGGCTGGGATAGATGAGATCTGGCTAAACATCTTCAGGTAAAAACCTATAAAAAAATTATTTGAGAAGAGGAATTTCAAGAGCAAGACAAAGGTATCCATAGTACTAATTTTATTTAACATTGTTCTGGGGGTGCTAGTCAATGCAATAGGACAAGAAAAATAATTAAGAGATACAGAGTATGGAGAAGTAGAAGCAAATTTTTATTAAAAATGCTATTCTATTATATGTCTGTTTGCTTGTGTCTTTATGGGCTATCTCTGGAAGGTTACAAAAAACTGTTGCTTTGGCTGCCTCTGGGGAAGTGAGCTAGGTAGCTGGGGCATGGGACAGGAAAGGAAATTTTACTATATACCCTTCAGTACCTTTCACATATTATAGCATGTGAGCATAATACCTATTAAAATTACAGTTTTAAAAGCAAACAAACCTCCTTCCCATAAAATTGTGAAATAGGGGGAAGATTTATTCCCCAAGAGAAATACTGCTTCCCTTAAAAGAGACCAGACAAAGCAGTATTCATGGTATAATAATGATTGTTAGATTTGTTGTGCTCTCGCATGGTGCGAGACACCACGATAAAGGTTTTGCACATGTTCCCTTCAGGCCTTGCTACAACTCAAGAGGTATCCCCTATTGTCCAAAAGAGGAGTTTCTGGCACAGAGAGGCAAAGTGACCTGCCCAAAGGAACACAGCTGATAGGTGTCAGGGCTGGAATTTAAACAGGGTTCATGTGGCTCTGGATTTCAGAGTTTTTGAGAGGGAATCGGTTGGCAAGGCAGCTCTTAGAGGATGTGGGGCCTACGACAGGACTTGAAAAATAAGTTGTGATTGAGCCTGGAGTTTCAGTCTTAGAACAACAGTGGCAGAACCTGGAGATGGTGGGGGTTTTAGCTCACCCCACAATCCCCATCAGCCCCTGTGAAGCCTCCCCAAATACACGTAAAATTGGCATAAGGCCCATGTGCTTGGTGTGCTATCACAAGCTCCTTAGCCCCTCTCCCAGGCGTCCCCTCCTAGAGGAAGATTCCAGACCTGCCTCTGTATATCATGCTTCAAAACAGCTGCAGGTCACTGAGCACCCACTGTGTGGCAGGCACCACGCTAGGGGCATACCGTATACTCATATACCATATACTCCCTACCATATCCTCCTCTGAGTCCTTAGAGCAATCCTAGAGAGGCATAGGGATTAACATTTCCATTTTGTAACTGAAGAAGAAACTGAGGCTCAGGGATGTCGAGTGTCTTTCCCAAAGTCACACAGCTAGTGCGTGTCTGAGCTGGGATTTACGTCTAGGTCTTCTGATGTCGGAACTGGTACCCTGCCGGTACGCCGTGCTGGCCAGTCCCTGTTGCAGAGCACGTGAAGGTCTGGAGAAGAGACAGGAGGCCGCTGGGACTTTGAAAAGGCAGAGGTGTGACTGTGTCTGCCCCTTTCTCTTTTCCTTAGGGAGGCGCAGACCCCCTCCTCTGGCCCCAGCGTGCCGGCATCTGTTCTGGGCTGCTCCAAGCTGTGGGGCATCTGCACGGCTTGGAGATCATCCACGGCAACGTCAAGAGGTGAGAGTGGTGGGCTGGACCCTGCCGAGGGCCTGCGCTGTGGCGCGGAGCCGAACACCTTCCTGCGCCCCTTCCCCTCCCTCTTCCTCGGTCTCTCTTCTTTGCTTTTTTTCTTTTAATATTAAGACTTTTTTTTTTAAGATTTTATTTATTTATTTGACAGAGAGAGATACAGCGAGAGAGGGAATTCAAGCAGGGGGAGTGGGAGAGGGAGAAGCAGGCTTCCTGCCGAGCAGGGAGCCCGATGTGGGGCTCGATCCCAGGACCCCGGGATCATGACCTGAGCTGAAGGCAGACGCTTAACCGACTGAGCCACCTAGGCGCCCCAGGTCTCTCTTCTTTGGATGGCTCTCCCCTCCTCACCAACCTTGGATCTCTTCTCTCTTTCTTTGTTATTCCCTCAAAAATCAGGGTTTCTGCTGTCCCTATACACTGCCCACCTGTCACCATGCTTGTCTTTTTTGAGCACCCCACACCCCTGAGGCCTTTTACTTCCAACCCAGCAGCTGGTCTGGACCCGATCCTGGAGCTTTAGGCCAAGCCCCCTAGGATTTTGAGCTCCCCGCTCAGAGTCTTCCTGGACACCCACCCCCTGCTTATGTATCTGTTGGCAAAAGTAACTCATGTCAGGGAAGCTTCCTGCAAGGTAGGCGTGCAACCCAGTATCTTAGCACCATGTTCCCAAGAGCAAGAGAGTCCTGCCTGGGGACTGGCAGCATGGGGAGAGATTCCAGAAAATACCAGAAAATCTGGCAAAACTGACCTTGAAACTGTAGAACTCATACTTCCTCAAATTTCTCTATTTGGCAAGTGGAAGCCTTGTCCTCTTTTTTTCTCCCTGATTTTTGTCTGATTGCACAAACAGCTGTAATAGCAAGAAAGGAAATGAAAGGGTGAGAGGTCATTCTGGCCCTGGTGCCCTGACTCATCGCCTGGCCTCCCTTTCTTCAGCACCTGCCCACACAGAAGTCTTAGCCCTAAGGGAGCACTGTCACCTGCTTACCAATTCATATTTTCTTTTTTACCCCTTTATTTAAACAGGGCAAATCTTTCCGCATGTTGCATGCCATCATTTTTAGTGACTTTTTAGTTTTCCGTTGAAGGGATTGGCCCATAATTTACTTAACCACTCCTAACAGTGGATATTGGACTTAATGTCTGTTTTTTTTTTTAAAGATTTATTTATTTGGTTGGGGGGGAGGGACAGAGGGAGAAAGAATCCCAAGCAGATTCCACACTGAGCATGGAGCCCGATGTGGGGCTTGATCCCATGACCCTGAGATCATGACCTGAGCCAAAACCAAGAGTTGGATGCTTAACCGACTGCGCCACCCAGGTGCTCCTGATGTCTATTTTTTAAACAACTATTTAGGGTTAGTTTGATTATTTTTACACATGTAACTTAGTTGTGTTCCCACTTGTTGTTTGTTTTTTCCTTTGAAGTACCTTCTGAGAGTGTTGACACCCACAGGTCAGATGCCTAGGTCCAAGAATGTTTTTATTGTTCTTCGTATTCCCCATGCTCTGGGCAGGACCAGTCACAGAGGATGGTGGCATTTAGACTCGAGTCAGTCGGGCCAGAGCTGGGGGTCAGAACAGTTTCAGAGGGGACCAAGCCTACATAGCCCATGGTCTTAGCAAGCTGAAGTTGATGAGGGTTTGACATCTTTGGGGGCCAGGAAGGCCGCACCTTGTTGGCTACCCCAAATGCCATTCCTGGGGCAGCACAACTAATCTTAGCTCCATCCTCCTTTGCTGGTGGGAGTGGGTTGCCACTCCCTTCCCTCACCAGGACTGGCTCAGAAAATCCAGATGGTGGGTCTAAAGTGACCCTTAACTTGCTGGGGCCAATGCTGCTTATCAAGAAGTTGTTTTCTGAAAAGCTCTCCATGGCAACCTCTTCTTGTCCAGCTCCAAGTGAGAAAGTTCTGTTTTCTTTCTTTTTTAAAAAAAGATTTTATTTATTTATTTGACAGAGAGAGAGAGCGAGAGCAGGAACACAAGCAGGGGGCGTGGGAGAGGGAGAGGGAGAAGCAGGCTTCCCGCCAAGCAGGGAGCCCGATGCGGGCCTTGATCCCAGGACCCTGGGATCATGACCTGAGCCGAAGGCAAAAGTTTAACGAATGAGTCACCCAGGCGCCCCTCCCTCTGCTTTCTTTTCCACAGCTCCAATGTTTTGCTAGACCAGAACTTCACCCCCAAGCTGGCTCATCCAATGGCTCACCTGTGTCCTAACAACAAGAGGTCAAAATATACCATGATGAAGACTCACCTTTTCCAGGCCTCTGCCGCATATCTGCCGGAAGATTTCATCAGGGTGGGGCAGCTGACAAAACGAGTGGACATCTTCAGCTGTGGAATCGTAAGAGCTCCCTTCTCTGCTTGGCCTTGGGCCTGTCCTTATTTGTCCTTCCCACAGCTCCTTTGTAAGCAGAAGATATAATAGAGGCCCCTAGATATAGTCCATCAAAATATAGTAGGGGTTGGCAAACTATGGCCCGGGGCATATTTTGTACAGCTTATAACTAAGAATAGTTTTTACATTTATAAAAGATGTAATAATACTGCTAATAAAAGAAGAATATGTGGGGTGCCTGGGTGGCTCAGTCATTTAAGCGTCTGACTTCGGCTCAGGTCATGAACTTGGGGTCCTGGGATTGAGCTCCTCGTCGGGCTCCCTGCGGTGGGGAGCCTGCTTCTCCCTCTACCCTCTGCCCCTCCCCCTGCTCATGCTCTCTCTCTCACAAATAAATAAATGAAATCTTTAAAAAAAAGAAGAATATGTGACAGAGATTTGGTTTGTGGCCCACAAAGCCTAAAATACTTACTGTCTGGCCTTTTACAGAAAAAGGTTGCCAACCCTTGAAGTATAGCAGTTTCTGTGAAGCTCCTTCCTTCTCTATTTCCCAGCCAGCCAGCCAGCCAGCCAGCCAGCCATCTAATTGTCTATCCAGTTGTCTGTTCATTTTGTCCATCCATCTGTCCAGTCATCCATTCAACTACTCATCCAATATCCATCCATTCAACTGCCACTCATCCATTCAGTATCCACCTATGCATCCCCCCTCGCTCCTCACCACCACCGTCCTGTCATCACTGTGTGCTAGGCAGTTGGAATAAAAATGTCACTAAAACACAGTCCTTCCCCCAGGAGCTCATGATCTGAGTATAGCAGTCTCCAAAGTACATTCTATGGAACACCCTTGAGGTCTCTGTAGGTTTGATGTATTTAAAGGGTTTTGTGGCCAAATAGGTATGGCCAATGCTGGGTTAAGCAGAGTCAAGCAGATTTCTTTACCAAAAAATTAATCAGAGACTTTAATATGGTAATGAGCCTTTAATTTAATTGTGAATTCACCACAGCTGGGCAAATGGTACTCAGCACTTCCCAAATTCATTTGACTGTGGAACCTTGTTTCCTCAGTCTCTCTCCACACCGGTGTCCCATGGAACCCAGTCTGGGAAATGCTGGCTGAGAAAAGCGACAGTCTTTGGCTGGCCTTTGCCAAGAGCAAATAGCTGCCTCTCGGACCGTGCCCTCTCTCTTCCTCTCGAGCCTCAAACTCTGTGCTTCCTCTCTGCTCCGTCTCTTGTCAGTCCACCTCTCCCACTAGTGCCCTCCCGAGCCACCTTCTGCTCTGATCCTGACCTCCAGATGCCAGATTCTACTTCCTTCTGTCTCCTGTGGGCTCTTCTGGTTTCCTTGCCCCCATCAGCTCCACTGTGAGGGGCTCAGTGAAGCTCAGTGGGGCTTGCCCTTCTAAAAACCAGCAGGACTGAACCCTGAGGCTGCCAGGCAATCCAGTGTAGGGCTTAAGAGTGTGGGTTTGAGCCCCCGCTTAGTTACTTTCAGCTGTGTGACCTCAGGTACCTCACCTCTAACTCTGGGCCTGTTTTGTCCTCTGTAAAATGGGATAGTGACATATATGGAGATTAATAAGATAATGTATATAGTTAGCAGAGTACCCTACACTTATCAAGATGATTATTGTTGTGGTATTCCTACCTTCACACTCTCACTCCTGATTTTTGTTTACCCCTGACTTTTTTTTTTAAGAGAGAGAGTGTGAGTGTGTAGAGGGGAGGGGCAGAGGGAGAGGAGAGAGAATCTTTTTTTTTTTTAAAGATTTTATTTATTTATTTGACAGAGAGAGACACAGCGAGAGAGGGAACACAAGCAGGGGGAGTGGGAGAGGGAGAAGCAGGCTTCCCGCAGAGCAGGGAGCCCGATGTGGGACTCGATCCCAGGACCCTGGGATCATGACCTGAGCTGAAGGCAGTCGCTCAACCGACTGAGCCACCCAGGCGCCCGAGGAGAGAGAATCTTAAGCAGGCTCCAGGCTCAGCGCAGAGCCCAGCGCCAGGCACGATATCACAACTGAGAGGTCATGATCTGAGTTGAAACCAAGAGTCTGAAGCTTAACCGACTGAGCCACCCAGGTGCCTGCTCTTTTTTTTTTTTTTTAAGATTTTATTTATTTATTATAGAGAGAGAGGGAGCGTGTATGGGTAGGGGGAGGGGCCGAGGGAGAGAGAGAGAATCCCAAGCAGACTCTATGCTGAGTGCTAAGCCCTGAGCCCGATGTGAGGCTCCATTGCACGACCCTGAGATCATGACCTGAGCCGAAATCAAGAGTCGGACGCTCAACTGACTGAGGCACCCAGGCGCCTCTTGCCCTTTGACTTTTTAACTCAGCTCTTGCTGTAAGAATTTTTTAAATTAATTTATGCATTCCATGCCCACTGGCTCCCTTCACTCTTTCTCAGCTCAGCCACTAGCTGACGGTATGAGTTTGAATTCTGATTCCTCCTGTTGGGAACACTGCATTTCTCAGTGGGTTTTTTTTAAGATTTAATTTATTTATTTGTCAGAGAGAGAGAGTGGGAAAGCACACACAAGCAGGGGGAGCGGCAGGCAGAGGGAGAAGCAAGCGTCCTGCTGAGCAGGGAGCCTGATGCAAGACTCCATCCCAGGACCCTGGGATCATGACCTGAGCCAAAGGCAGATGCTTGACCAACTGAGCCACCCAGCCGTCCTGCCTGCTTACCATTTCTTTTTTTTTTTTTTTTTAAGATTTTACTTATTTATTTGAGAGAGAGAATGAGAGAGAGAGAGAGAGCATGAGAGGGGGAGGGTCAGAGGGAGAAGCAGACTCCCTGCCGAGCAGAGAGCCCAATGCGGACTCGATCCCGGGACTCCAGGATCATGACCTGAGCCGAAGGCAGTTGCTTAACCAACTGAGCCACCCAGGCGCCCTCTGATGGGTTTTTAAATGAAATGATCTTTAAAATATAGTGTGTGTGTGTGTGTGTAGATACATGTATATATAGAAAAATGTGATATGTGTATATACACATTTATATATAAATATATAGTATGTGTATGTAAATATACATATTTACACACACATATTTATATATACATATTTTTATATAAGTATATAGTATGCATATATAAACATACATATTATATATTTATATGGATATACTTATACATGTAAAACTGACGGTAATACACACACGTTTGGTTTCCATCCTCCCTGACTTGCTATACATTCGAACCTTTTACTAGCAGCTGGGTGGTGTGTTTAGTTAGGAGGAGGTATTTAGTGATATTCCAATGTTCCCAATTTGGGGCAAGTGTCTGTACTGGTAAATGGCAGAGCCGGGCCTGGAGCTCAGCCTTTGTTACTAAGAAGAATCGTTGCTCTTGGCCTGAATCTCCTGCCTGAACTTTTGCATGAGTGTCTGAACCGTGCTAACTGCATGTTCTCTCCAGGTGCTAGCTGAGGTCCTCACTGGCATCCCTGCAATGGATAACAACCGAAGCCCCGTTTACCTGGTAAGGGAACCAGTCACTTCTGGCTTGCTACTGGGGGCTGTGGGGAGGGGTCAGGAGGGCAAGGACCTCCACTCCACCCATTTTACAGATGGTTATGAGGTCTCAGTCTGCAGTTTGATTTGCAAAGTAACCTTAACCTCTCCCCCTCTTACCAGCCAGCCAAGTTCATGATAAGAGAACTTAGAATATTTAGGGGAATCCCGTTTCTTCTCTTTACACATCTGGCAGTCAAATAGGATTTGTCTTCAAGTTGGTAAAAGTCAGCCCTCTTTAACAGGTTCCTATAATAAAAGCAATAATTTTCATTTTGTGGGTTCAAAGAACTATCATTCACATATATACACATACAGGGTCATTTCAAAAATATAACAGCAGAGCCAGACTCTGTGTTTGGCACTTTACATATATTATCTTTCTAAGTCATCACAAAATCCCCCCAAGATTGACAGGGTCATGACGTTCACCTGCCCTTGAACAAGCAGGCCCCGAGGTTCACCCGAGATCTCGGCTTTGCTAAGTGGCAGAGACGGACTTCCACGTCAGGTCTTCTGGACTGCAGCTCCTGAGTTCTTAACCCCGACACTCTGCTGACTGTTTAATTCTCATGACAGTCCAGCCATATGAATTCAGGATTATTATCATCCCCATTTTGCAGATGAGAAAACTAAGGCCAAGGTGAAGAGACTTGTGTCACGCCCGCCCCCCCACAGTGAGATCAGTGGTGGAACTGGGATTTGAACCCATGTCTTCTGCAGAGTTCCAAATCCTGTGAAAGCTCTACTCTTCATCAGTTTGAGAGGAAGCACCTTTCCTGACTTGATGTTGAGGCCATTAGATCAGCTGGCTTTTTTTGGTGACTGGGCCCCCAAAACATCCCTTGGGCCCTGGGGTGGGGAGCTGAAGGCCTTCCTACCCACAGAAAGTCATTCCACTTTTGGAGACTGGGTCCCAGATGTTACAAAGAGGTGGGTTTCAGCACCTCAGATGTGGTTTGGGGCAGTTTGAGGTGATTTCTCATATTCTGACGGTTTTCTTGGGGTGAATTCCCTAACAGTCCTCTGGGTCTCCCTAGATGAACGTCGCAAGCGGAGTCTTTTGAGATACTTATGTGAAATTTCCTAGAAGGTGTTTTTGTTGATGGTTTCTAAAAATGTGGAGGAGGGGGCGCCTGGCTGGCTCAGTCGGTGGAGCACGCGACTCTTGATCTTGGGGTTGTGAGTTCAAGCCCCATGTTGGGCGTAGAGTTTACTTTAAAAAAATGTGGAGGATAGAATTTTTTAAAAAAACCTTAATAAATGAAGATTGAGCATGTTATTAAGATTCAAATCAGAGATGAAAACTGCTAGCACCTAGTGGTGGGAAGAAGCAGGCCTCTCTTCCACCCTCGGGGGAGTGTTTGTGGCCACAGTGTTTTCCGAAGGTCATCGGGTGGTTTCCATCGAAGTTTAACATGGGTGTGCCTTCTGATGCGGTCATTTCACTTATACAAAGGGACACATACATACAAGGGAGGAAAGACGGACACGGCTGTTCACTGTAGCGTTATTTATGTTAGAAAACAGCTACAAACAAGTAAAATATCTGTCAGTTGGGAGGTGGTGAAGGAAATTACAGTGTAATCACACACCCTGGTAATTCCATGAAATTATTTATAAATAAGTTTATAATGTTTCTAAGTAGTGAGAATGAAGTATATAACGTGATGAATTTTGACATATGTATATATCTGTAAAATCTTCACCAAGCCATGTTCGTGACCGTGCCTACTACCCTGGAAGTTACCTCTTCTCCTTGGTAATCCTGCCCTCCCGCCCCTCCCAGACCCTGCCATCCCCTGCCGCCACTGATCTGCTTTCTGTCACCGCATGAGGTTCCACTCTCTGGACTTTCATATAAATGAAATCAGAGAGAGTTGGCTCTTCTGGTGTCTGGATTTTTCCACTCAGCATGGTTATTCTGAGATACGTCCCATGCTCTTTGTGTGGGTCCATGGTTCATTTAGTTTTACTGAGTAATGTTCCATTGCAGGGATGTGCCACCGTGTGTCCGCTCACCTGTTGATGGGCATTTGGTGTGTTTCCAGTTTTTGACTGTTACACCTGTAGCTGCTAGGTACTTTTCTGTGCGGGTCTCACTGTGGACATGTGCGTTCATTTCTGTTGAGGTATAATTCACACTTGTGAGGTGTACAGAATGGTATAAATTTTGGAAAGTGTGGACAGTTATGTAACCAACACCACCATAATCTAGATATGGAGTATTTTCATCATTCCAGAAAATTCCCTTGGGCAACTTTATAGTCAGTCCCTTCTCCCTGCTTCCTGTTCTTATTTCTTTTTAAAAAAATTTATTTATTTATTTATTTGACAGAGAGAGAGATAGAGAGGGAGCACAAGTAGGCAGAGCAGCAAGCAGAGGAAGAGGGAGAAGCAGGTTTCCCGCTGAGCAGGGAGCCTGCTTCTCCCTCTGCCTGCCGCTCCCCCTGCTTGTGCTTGTTCACTCTCTCTCAAATAAATAAATTAAAAAACGTGTGTGTGTGTGTATGTGTGTGTGTATTTTAAAGCATATCCCAGATATTATGTTATTCCACCCATAAAATAGTTTTCTTAATTCCTTAATATCATTTAATGCCCATTCCATGTTTAAATTTCCCAAGTTGTCTCAAAAATTGCTTTTTAAAGTTGGTTTGTTTGAAACTGATACAAAGTCCACATGTTACCATTAATTATGTTTCTTACAAATATTTAGAAAAAATAAAAAAGGGGTGCCTGGGTGGCAGAGTCGGTTAAGCATCTGACTCTTGGTTTCAGCTCAGGTCATGATCTTGGGGTGGTGGGATGAAGCCCTATGTTGGGACTTATGCTTGGGACTTTCTCTCGGTTTCCCTCTGCTCCTCCCCCACTCCCTCCCCTCAATAAATAGATACATCTTTAAACAAATAACTATGTTTCTTGAAACATAAAAAAAGCCAGCTGTTCTAATGGCCTCAACATCAAGTCAGGAAAGGTGCTTCCTCTCAAACTGATGAAGAGGAGTAGAGCTTTTTTTTTAAGTTTTTAAGTTTTTTTTTAATTATTTAAGTAATCTCTACACCCCATGTGGGGCTCGAACTTACAACCTCTGAGACCAAGAGCCACATGCTCTTCTGATTGAGCCAGCCAGGCAGCACTTGAAACTCTTCTGTTCTCCAACTGCACCCCTCCCCATGTTTTCTTTCCATATCTCATTGCATTTTTGCATAAAGTGAGTCATTTGTTCTGTAAGTCTCTCATGTTCTGGATTTTTACATCCTTGTGGTATTCTTTTTTTTTTTAAAGACTTAAAAAAATTCATTTAGAGAAAGAGAGAGAGAAAGCACACACGTGTGCGAGTGGGGGAAGGGGCAGAAGCAGAGGGAGAGAGAGAATCTCAAGCAGACTCCATGCCAAGCACAGAACCTAACTAAGGGGCTCGATCTCATGCCCCTGAGATCACGACCTGAGCCAAAACCAAGAGTCAGACGCTCAATTGACTGAGGTACCCAGCCCCCACCTCCCATTCTTGTGGTATTCTTAACGTGTTTCTCTCTACCTCTTGTCCTGAGACTTGGTTAGATTCATGATCAGTGCTGCTTCCTGGGTGGTCCCTGGTGCTTCCCACAGCATCACAACAGGAGGCACATAGTGGGTCCTCCTCCTTCCAGTGCTGAGGTTCATCAGTGGGTCCAGGTGGAGTTGCTGACTCTCCCCATCCCTAAGTTCCTTCATCACCCTACCCCTGAGTGTTCTTAGCATCTCCTGATGACTCTTGCCAGATGAGATCCACAACTTCACTGGGGGGAGTCAAATGGTGAGCCTCTGCTTCTATCATTCTTTCAGGCCAGTTGTTTTGAATAGTCTCTTTCTTTTCTTTTCTTTTCTTTTTAAAGATTTTATTTATTAGACAGAGAGAGAGAGCACAAGCAGGGGGAGCAGCAGGCAGAGGGAGAGGGAGAAGCAGGCTCCCCGCGAAGCAAGGAGCCCATCGTGGGGCTCGATCCCAGGACCCTGGGATCATGACCTGAGCCGAAGGCAGACCCTTAACCGACTGAGCCACCCAGATGCCCCTTTTGAACAGTTTCTGATTCTGTTTCAGATGGTGGTAACCTCTATATCTGAAAATAACACTCTCCTGGTATTTTTTGACTTAACAACTTTAAACACCATGATACCTTTTAAGGCAGAGCTCACATGAAAGAATTGTGCAAAAGGGTATTCATAGAGGCAACCATGGCCAGCTGGAGGTTTTTAGTCTCCAGGTATTGAATTCCTTACAGTGTCAGGCATGTAGGTGTTATTGGATCCTCAGACAACCCATTTTCTGGATGGGGAAACTAAGGCAGAGTGGTGACTGTCTTGTTTTGTTTTTGAAGCAAATATCGCAGCCCATGCCTGATAATCTCTGATAATCTTTTTTTTCAGAGTTGTAAATGTATTTTTATGAAAATCTGTATAAAGCAATAAAAATTAGTTTTATATTTAATGAATCACTTCTGTTAAAAATAATAGAATGACAGGGCGCCTGGGTGGCTCAGTTGGTTAAGCGACTGCCTTCGGCTCAGGTCATGATCCTGGAGTCCTGGGATCGAGTCCTGCATCGGGCTCCCTGCTTGGCGGGGAGTCTGCTTCTCCCTCTGACCC